CTAGGATACTTGGGTAGTTCTACTGGGTATGTTTCCGGGCTGACTTTTGCGTATTGTGGCGGCCATCTTGAAATCCAACAAGACAACAACAATCACATGCGAAATGGTGCCTTTGTTCTAATGTGTACTGTTTAGCTTCTAAACGCTGATAAAATTATCTTAGATATAATGTGACGGAATCACATGGGGCACCCATCATTTTCACACCAAAGTTATTACACTATTGTTATTTTCGTTTTCCGTTTGGTATGGAAGGGAATTCTATATAGCTCAAAATAATCTCTGGATATACATTCCTCTTTAAAATGATACCAAGAAATCATAAGTACTCACCGTAAAAACGTGAATGACAGCGGATTCAAAAAAGATCAAAAGTTCGTAGCAGACGGCGGTTAGCAACATGCAATTCCGCAGGAAACGAAAATAATCGCAAAAATAATTTAAATGCTATAGGTTAAAAATAGATGTACACTAATGTTAAACTCTAAGTTTAAAATTTATATTAGAATAATTTTAATTTTTCCTGACCCAGTTTCTTTTCTCGTGGAATCCATGATATGCGCAGATGCTCTTGGTTAACACACCTACGAAGCCAGGCACCGTATCTATTGCGATTATTGAAGCTATTCTTAATTATCTAATACCTAGTAAGCAACATACGTAGCAGCAGTAACAGCGAGGGGACACGGTTATTTACCGGACGCGGAATTGGAACATTTTAATTATCTAGAAACCAGAAAAATACCGGATAAATCTTTCGTGATTTGCTAATAGAGGTCAACCGGGACGCGGCAAAGCCGAAAGCGCCATCTTAATTAACCTGGAACAGAGAAATCTTATATTGTTTTTACCTGGAAACTAGGAATTAACCACCGTACCCGTTCTACTACCTATACTACATACATACTCAGGTTAGGTATATGTGTGGTCGACTTTTACAGATGGAGTGGTGTTGGGTGTACGCAAATTAGTGTATTTCTCGACTTTTATCGCTAAATTATATCCTGTAGGCATGAGCGTCAGAACGTTTTTGAAAGTGGGAGTCTGAGAACCTAAAATGACACTGCCTCAGGCCTCCTTGCCCTGATGCGCATGCAATTTAACTTGGGAGAGAACTCAATAGACCAGTTATGCGATGCATGTTTTTTTATTCTTGCTTTTCTCACTAATAATTTCCATTGCAATTGCCCGTTTTTTCACAACTTTATAGCATTTCACGAAGATACAAAATCGTTCATGATCACTCCCACGCTTTTCCAGCATGGCCACTCGTTCTCTCTCTTCAACGCTCCTCTCTCGTTCTCTCTCTTCATCGCTCCTCTTTCATTCTCTCTCTTCAACGCTCCTCTCTCGTTCTCTCTCTTCGTTGCTCCTCTCTCGTTCTCTCTCTTCATCGCTCCCCTCTCGTTCTCTCTCTTCAACGTTCCTCTCTCGTTCTCTCTCTTCATCGCTCCTCGCTCGTTCTCTCTCTTCATCGCTCCTCTATCGTTCTCTCTTTTCATCGCTCCTCTCTCGTTCTCTCTCTTCAACGCTCATCTCTCGTTCTCTCTCTTCAACGCTCCTCTCTCGTTCTCTTTCTTCATCGCTCCTCTCTCGTTCTCTCTCTTCATTTAGTCAGGGGGCAGATTTCACACAAAAAACTTTTTCGTATTGTGGCGGCCATCTTGAAATCTAACAAGACAACAAGAAGCACATGCGAAATGGTGCCTTTGTTCTAATGTGTACTGTTCAGCTTCTAAACGGTGATAAAATAATCTTAGATATAATGTGACGGAATCACATGGGGCACCCAACATTTTCACACCAAAGTTATTACACTATTGTTATTTTCGTTTTCCGTTTCTGTATGGAAGGGACTAGCTCAAAATAATATCTGGATATACATTCCCCTTTAAAATGATACCAAGAAATCATAAGTACTCACCGTAAAAACGTGGATGACAGCGGATTGAAAAAAGGTCAAAAGTTCGTAGCAGACGGCGGTTAGCAACAATTCCACAAGGAACGAAAATAATCGAAAAAATGTTTTAAATGCTAAAGGTTAAAAAGATATGTACACTAATGTTAAACTCTAAGTTTAAAATTCATATTAAAATAATTTCAATTTTTCCTGGCCCAGTTTCTTTTCACGTGGAATCCATGATATGCGTAGATGCTCTTGGTTACCACACCTACGAAGCCAGGCACCGCATCTATTGCGATTATTGAAGCTATTCTTAATTATCTAATACCTAGTAAGCAACATGCGTAGCAGCAATAACAGCGAAGGGACACGGTTATTTACCGGACGCGGAATTGGAACATTTTAATTATCTAGAAACCAGAAAAATACCGGATAAATCTTTCGTGATTTGCTAATGCTAGGGGCACACGAGCGATTTTTATCGCCCGATCGCGGCGATTAAAATTGCCAGCGAATTTAATCGC